CTGAGGGAGCTAAAACAAAAGCAATGGATACATTATATGAGGCCAATTAATTTATAAATGAGTGATATTAAAAGTGAACTTTCTGGACTCAGAGAGAAACTCAGGAGAAACATAAAACTACCCTCAAAGGAAAAAAAAATGAGGAACACATGTTATATTTGGACCTTAAAAAATACGAAGGTCAAGTGTACATGAGATAGAGATATATGATATTGTTATTTGATTTTTCATTTCGGTGTATACAGTTACACTAAGAGTATTCTTTCTAAAGATCACAGTTCTTTTCCAAAGAGATATTCCCTCTCTTTACTTAAGTCTCTATGTGGATAGAAGAATACAGTTTCAGAAAGAAAATTGCTCTTAATAAAATGAAGACTGAGAGTCAGAGAAATGTTCCAAAACAGTGGTTTCTGGGACTTCGAGATTTCATACATTAATAAAATCTTTTTGATTAAAAAGGCGTGAAACAGGGGCGCCTGGGTGGCTCAGTCGGTTAAGCGTCTGCTTTCAGCTCAGTTCATGATCCCAGGGTCCTGGGATGGAGTTCCGCCCGCATCAGGCTCCCTGCTCAGTGGGGAGCCTGCTTCTCCCTCTCCCTAGGCAGCTCTCGCTGCTTGTGCTCTCTTGCACTCTCTCTCTCTGTCAGATAAATAAAATCTTTTAAAAGGGGGGGGGCATGAAACTTACAGGCTCAGGATAAGGTATAGCTTTTTTTTTTTAAACCAAAGACATATATCTTCATGAAAAACTCCCTACATTGTCCTTTTCACTTTTCTAGTAGCAGAGAGGGTAAAAAAAATAACAATAAAATGAAATAATAAAAAAATAAATTAAAAATTAAATTTAAAAAATAAAACAAATGCAGTCCCTGAACTAAACGTTTAAAATATTAACTTCTTGGCAGACCAGAAGCAGTGCCAGCTAAAAATGAGGCAAATCTTGCCTCCTTTTATGAGGATGCACATAAAAGCTCATCTGATTACTCTCACAACTATTAGTGATGTTATTTGGCATATTCTTAACATTACCTTCTGAGCATCCAATTTTCAGTATTGAAGAAATTAGTTAAAAATATCAATCAAAAAATGAAGATTAATCTCATCGATTTTGAGACAAGAAGTTGATCACCAAAATAGTAAATTCTATAAACAGCAGGTTTTTCCCCATAAATGAAACTTGACTGAAATCAGTTGTGTCACAGCCGTCTATCTGTAAAGGAGCAACCTAAGATGGGTGTCCCAAAGCCAGCTCTTGACAGTGGACATTAAGGGATATGTTGTGTGTATGTTTCGATGAAGATAGTGTTTCAATACACCATGATGTTTCATTGAGTGAAAATTAAGGATTCAGGATGCCTTATGAAAACAAACTTTGTGTAGCTGCTGGCCCTTACCAACTTACCCAACTCTGGCAGCTGAAGAATGTCTAGATCTTGTCAGCACCAAAATTGGCCACCAGTTCCCTACTGTATGCTAGACCTTGGGTCTTGACCCCACTGGAAAACTCTCCAAGAATAGTGAATCATGTTCCCGGATCATGGCCATGTGTGACCTCTGCTTCAATGGACAAGGCCAGGCTGAAGATGGTCTTCTCCTAGGGTTGAGGCCAGGTAGGGCCACCCTGGGATGCCTGGTGCACCCCTGCTCTTTGGATTTGGGTCCATTTCCATCATGCAGAGGCAGTGTCAGCCCCTAGACAGGACCTTCAAGATCGAGGGACAAAGCTGGTAACCTTGGACAAGTTCCATTCCTGTGCTTCCTCCTTAGTGTATGCACATTAGGTCCCCAACAAGTATTAGACCCTGGAACCCTCCGTTCTTCATAGAGGTTGTACTTGTGTGAGTTAATGGGCCAAATAGGTGGTGAGTTCCGAGCAGTGCTGACTTGCCTGTCAAGCACAGCCTGTGTATTGCACTCCCTTCAGTTTAGGTTGTTCACGATGCGGGTACAATCTAGGTTAATCCAAAATTAACATGGATTGCCCAATTGTTCCCTTCCTGGCTGAGCCAATTACTCCCACACATACAACATTTTCTGCTGAATATATGATTTCAGACTATATCTTAAGTTTTCTTAAGTATGGTAGAACTGAATGTCGTGAACCATAGTTAGGTTAAAAGTCTGATTTAAAATATTTTGGTGACCACATTTATGACTGTCTTTAATTGCTTGAACACAATTCAAAGAGTTAGAAAAGAGAACAAAAAATGAATACGTGGCTCAGATTTTAGTTCTCCTGTATGCTACCCAACAGGTCTAAGGGTTAATCAACGGAGAAAACAATGTCTCTTTAGTTTCACTTATCCCTAAACAGTGATTTATAGTAATAAATACTAATCCGGGAGGATGATTTGATTGGGTTTTTTTTTAAGATTTTATTTTTAAGTAATCTCTACACCCAACATGGGACTCGAACTCACAACCCTGAGACCAGGAGTCGCATGCTCTTTCGACTGAGTCAGCCAGGCACCCCTGATTTGATTGTTCTAATCACCAAAAAACCTAGTGAATTTTTTAACTAAAAGAAGGGGATGAAGAGACAGTGAACGTATAACGTATTACTCCCACCAATCACATTTACCTGTAAGAAATGTACGGCATTTAGTATCAGTAACCATATAAATGTCCTCCACGGTTCACTGAATCTGTTCTCCGCCCCCCTCCGCAACAGCAACCTGCCCCCAGGCTATTTTATATCTGCCAGGACACATCGTTAACAACCTGGACATTCCTCTGCCATCTTCCTTACCTAAAACAGGTGCTTGGTGGTTAAGGTGTTTACATATTTCTTGTATGCTGTGCTTTCAAGCATTAAGAATTCAAATTCATTTCACTACAGAAACAAGAATCAAAAGTGCCAAAAGGTGATGACAGACATGAATTGAATCCAACAGGTATATCTGCCCAGTATTCAGTTTGACCATTACTTCTCCCAGCATTACCCCCTGGCAACACCTTAGATGTGGTATACACTACAGACCACTCAGAGGTTAACTAGAGACGAGTTCTTCAACCCAGAGGAACAGGACCAGGTTCATTTGCATCCACTGTAACCCTAATCTCTCTTTGGGAATTAATTCCAGTGTACTCACCCTTCACAAGTTCTATAGAAAATTTTCTATGTGAGAGTGTGAAACTATATTTATTCCTGATTAATTACCACCCAATCCCACTCCCCGCAAAATCTGTCATTTATCTGATTCAATCATGAGAAAACTTTCTGTGGCTAGAGCTGAGTTCATTTTAAAGGACTTTACATTTGAGATTTAGTTTCTAGAATCCATTTGGAAAAGACCCACCAAATGACCACCAAGAGATCCAAGAGACAATTTCTTCTTTTCTCATGTTCCAGATCGACGTGCACTCTCAATAAGTCACTGCTTATCCGGGTTCTCCAAGCTCTTCTCCATCTACAGAATATATGGAATCCGAGCAACCTCAAAGAATGGAGGTGAAGTCACATCTGTCGGTGCGCATCTATCCATCCTATAAAATTATCACCAGGCATACACACAAGCTACTACATACTCCAAAGTGAAAGGAGTCTTTGCTTAGCGATCATAAAGGCTTCACCCTCTTGTAGGTAAAGCAGGGAAGCCTGGAGGTCAAGTGACTTAAAAGCCATACAAGTCATTAGTGGCAAAACCAGGACAGGAATCCGGCCACCACGAAGTCCAGTTCCATGCTTGTTCTCACAGTGCTGTTCTCACTGCCTCCTCATAACCCTTGGGTGCCCTTTCCAGGCTTTGCATGAATATGACAAATAAAGGGATAACGTGACCATCAGTGGTCTCACAACATACATACATAGGATATTCCTACAAGATCTTCTAATTCTCTTTCCGAGCCTTCAAGAGCAACTCCACTTACTGCCTCTTGTTTTATTCAAAATATTTGTTCCAAGTAAATTAATAACACCCATTTTTAGAGGATGCATATCGATAGCCAAAGTCAGTTTTCAGTTTAGACTCTCCAAGATAATGGATTGACACTGATCCACCAGCTAATTGTTTAAACAGATAACGTTCGCAAAAATGTGAGCATGCTGCTTTATACCTCTTTCGAAATATCACCAGGAACATGTCCAACAGAGCACTCTGTTCTCTACTGAGGTAATCACCAAGGAGGAAGGGGTGGTAAAAGAAAACCAACAGTCTTCATCACTTCTTTTTAATTGTTTAACTTTATTACTGTTGCACCGTTTATACAATTACATATAATTTCAATGCATCCATTGTACATTTTTTTGTTTTTTTATTTTTATTTTTTTCCATTTCCCAATGAGTGGTGTGTTGGTGTCTGTGACACAGAATGGAAGAGAAACCGGAACTGCAATGAACGCAGACTTTTTTTTTTTTTTTTTTTCATTTCCACTGACCAATAAACAGAACTACAGGTGCACCCAACCACGGACATGCATTAACTCGTCATGAGAAATCTAGGGAGGCTAAGTAGGATGAGAGAATGTTTGTTACTCCCAAAAATACCTGGGGAGGAAGAATGGAGTATTGGCATCGAGATACACGTGGACTGGCTAAGTGGGCTGTCTGAAAGTTGGCATTCATCCACAACATTAAAAAAAAAATCAAAATAAGAAAAGCTGTAAATTAAAAGGAAAACACAGAAAATACTGCTTTCATAAAGATCTGATTGCCTTGGCATAGGCCGTGCGGGCAGAATCAAGCGCATCACTCCCAACCCCCTTGCAGAAGACATTTATTCGGATCTTCGCGGCGGAGCGCATGTGACGGCAGTCAGGTACAGAAGGTGTACTGTACTTTCAGACACTGATCTTTAAAATCCAGGACTGACTGGTAAAGTTGACTGAAGGTATATTAGATATTTCCCCACAAAAATACTATTTGGATTCTCCCCACCCCCTCCCTCCCTCGATGGGACAACATCCTTTTTATTTATTTATTTATTTTTTAATTTCCTTGGGCAATACATATCATTACTTCCAATTTGAAACGCGTTAGTAGAGGAGAGAGAGAGAGACAGAGAGAGAGACACAGAGAGAGAGACAGGCGGTGTAAGCGGGACTCGGGTTCCAGAGGCTGTCCGTGTTACTCTTTGACCGCTACGGTTTGCTCAGCGCAGGCGGCGGGCGCCTCGGCAGCGTCGTCTGCGGGGGCTGCGGGGGCCTGGGCCTTGGCCGTCGAACTGGGGGCTTCCGTGGCTGCCGGGCTCTCCTTGGACGACGGGGCAGCCTCGGTGCTGCTGGGTTTTGAGTCTGAAGCCGGGGCCCCGTCACTTTTCGTCTCCTGCGCGGCAGGAGCTGCGGGAGCCTCAGTCTTTGTGGGTTCCCCGGCCTCCTGGCCCTTGTCATCCGCCTTGGCCTCCGCGGGCGCCTCGGGCTCCGCAGCCTGGGGGGCGTCGCCGGCCGCCGGCTCGGGCTCGGCCTTCGGGGGCTCGGCCTTGCCCTCGGCCGCCCCCTCCGTCTGCTCGGGCTCCGCCTTCGGGGCGTCTTCCTTGGCCGCCGCTGCCGTGTCTTTGCCGCCTTCCTTGTCTTCGGGCTTGCCGGCCGCCGCGTCCGGGCCATCCTTGTCGGGCTTCTCCTCCTTGCCCTCCTTCACCTCTGTGGTCTCGGCAGCCGCCTGGGTCTCGTTCTCCTTCGGGGTTCCCTCCTCTTCGGTCCCCGCTCCTTCGGCCTTCTTGTCTTTGTCCTTGGCCTTCTCATCATTCACGTTGTACCCCTTCTTCTTCTTGCTCAGCTTGCCTCCCATCTTGGAGCTCTGTAACATAGCACAACGGGACACAACACAAAAAGGAGTTACTCGTGGCTCCGGGAGGGAACATCTGTGCCCCCCTCTCCCCGCCCCCATTCATAGGCTGAAATCCTAACTCCCCCAAGGTGATGGCATTAGGTGGTGGGGCCTCTGCGAGGTGATGAAGCCAGGAAGGTGCCGCCCTCATGGACAGTGCCATAGAAGGGACCCCGCGGTGCTCTGGCCCTGGCCCCCAGGTGAGGCGCAGCCTCATCTGCCTGCACCTTCACCTGGGACTTCCCAGCCTGCAGAACTGTGAGAAATAAACTTCTATTTATAAGCCACACAAGTCTACGGTAGTTTGTTTTAGCAGCCAGAATGGACCCCGATGCTTCCAAGTACGAAAACTAAAAGAAGGCTACCGTTTACAAAGTAAAGAGTTCAGCATGCTACTTCAGGGTACACTTTAAGATGGTGACCAGGGTAAAGTTCGTGTTACCTGTATTTTGCCACAATCAAAAATTCTTAAGCGCATCATAAAAAGTAAAGAGCTCAATTACGCAGTGTCTAGTTGCAGCAAGGGGACGAAATCATAAACTGAGATCAAAGACTCCATGATTAAATACTAAGCTTGTCAATGGTAAAGAGAAGTGGAGCATTATTTTTTCTTAAGTGCTTTCTGATGAGCAGCTCAGATACTAAGTATTGAGCAGGTATGTACAAAATGGCAGAGGCAGCCATTTTAGATCTATAGTAGATCTAGTAAAAGGCTTCACAATCTTAAAATACCTTCCAGAGAAATGGCACAGCTGTTGATAAAGCACAAATCACAAATTTCTAGAAAACGATCTCAAACTACAAACTCCTCTGAAACTCCATTGTTCATATACATGCTCATATAAGCACGTATATCTTCAAAGACCAAAGGCAAGTAGTATTTGGCCTATCTCCTTAGTATCAGCAGGACCAGTTAAGAGAAAACTATCACCCAAGAAATGAAAAGCCTACAGCATCTTCTGTCTGGTAAAAAAGTTGTGTCAGACTTGTATTCATTGCTTTTTGAGATGATTTTGGCTTCAAAGAAATACTCTATAGCAACATAAAAATGTCCCTCATGGTCAATTGCCTGACTAGAATTCAAACTAATTCAGTGCTCATTAACAGAATTTTTTACTCCAGGTGAAGTCCCCAGCTTCTTGGAGGCTTTTGATTCTGACATCAGAAACTACAATTGTACTTGAATCCTTAATTTTTCTCCTCTGGTACAAAAATGAATCCAAATACATAATAAATTATAAAATTATAAATAATAAATTCAGTCTAGAACCATTGCCAGAACTACACAGGCATGGTACTTTTATTTTCAAGTTCATTTTGATGCCATCACGTTATCAGTGGGAACCGACTGAAACTGTTGCTCTTTAGAGGAAAATCAGTTGCTTCTCCTCGATGAACACAGAAGAGATCCAATGCCAATACTCTTTAGTCCCCACAATTAAGAAAAGTCCAGCAGAGAGAGCCTTGCCCTGGGCCCCACTGGAGGTTATAAAGTACAGGTGACAGACGACCTGGTTCTGTCCCAGAAGAAGGATGACTCTGGGTTTAGTTATAAAGTTCTTGTTGATCAGTCACTTTTTTTTTTTTTAATGTCATCCATTTGGAACAGAAAATTTTATTCCTTACACTTCTCAAACCATGACTCATGAGAGTGAAATAATCTACATTTATCTCTAAAAGCTGGGTGTTAGATAGCAGAGTGCTATTCTTCAGTCAAAATGTGTCTCTATCTGCTAACTTCCACCCCATATGTGAATTTCCTGTCTGGAATGCCTTTCATGTTGGAGGAGAAAAAAGCAGTAAGTTGAAAGGTGACCAAAATAATGTTCCTAGTCTGAAGGAAGGCCTTTATTATGTTCTGAAAGAATTTCTCTTACATATCTCTTTTTAAAAAAAGAATGGTTTTTGGTCATAACCCACTTCAGACACCCAATGGTTTCTATTTGACTTAATTTTTGGTTATTTTTCCCTCAGAAGTAGGGCAAATACATATGGTAAAATACAATTAAATACACTTTAATCTCATAAGCAATCCAAAGCAATAAATGAAAATATAAAGAAATAAATTGGACCAGTGTTTTAAATATAGTTTATAACTGAGTCCTTAATTAGCCAGTGTGCAGGAATGTCAAAATAATTTCAGCTCTGATATGTTGAGATATATTTTGGAACATTAGGTTAGAGCTAAGAAACAAAACCTGACAGTTCTGCTTTTTCTCTATATTCTCCAATTCTATAATAGAAACCCATACACCAACTTACAAATTACAGAATAGAGGACAAAGTGTAAATGCAGCCTCTTTCTGACACACACAGCATGAAATTCTATATAGCTATCCCCAGAGGCTTAAAGTCATGTTGGTTTACAAACCTAAAATCTGTGTTACTAAAATTGGTTTTCTGAAACACAGTTAGGGCCACTTTCTATTCTTTAAGCCCAGCTGCGATTCATTTCTGGGTAGGAAATGAATGTACATCATCAAGTTGTAAGTAAGAAAGTCTCTATCCCTATTTGTTTTTCAAACACAAGAGTTAATAAACACCCCTGCTTTTTGCTAATTTTCTTGTGTAAGTTACAGCGGGGTATCAGAGGAAGGCTTATAGAATCCACCAGAACCTGGAAAAGCAGGGTAGTCTGGCTTTTCCCAAGATAATATGAGTGAAAACCCTGCATATACGCAGGGGTAAATTAAAATTAAAAATTAACATCTATTAATGGTTTCCTGAGTGTCAAGCACTATCCTAATCCTAAACACATTACTAAATTGTTTTATTTAATCTTCTCAACAGTACCATAAGGTAGTAAATATACCATTAGCATCCTCCTTTTACCCATATGGAAATTCTAACTAGCCGAGTTCATGGGGCGGTACTATAAGCAAAAGGCCAAATCCAACAAAATTAAGATGAAAAGGCACCATCCAGGAGGTCAAAGGGAACGGTCACGAACAAGCCGCTAACTGGACAGAGCTCATCTCAGGAATGTTACCCAGCCCGGGTCACAAGGTTGGTGCAGATGTGGGGTGACTCAGAACTCAGGATGGATGCCGTCAAGGTAATGATGAAATTCACAACTTCAGGTACTCTCTGCCCTTAATCTTTTCATTGCCCCATTTGTCAGTGGGGCTTTGTATCAGTATCCTTAAGAAATAAGGAGAGCGATGGGCATATATTTTAATCACTTCTCTCGTATCTATTACTTCTAATTTTGAAGGAAATTAGTTGGTGTAAAAAAACCCAGCAACAAATAATCCACCTTGGAACTCACTTAAACCTAAATCTGGGCTACAGTGAAGGCTAACACTACCTTTGCATTTCTGCACTGCACATCTGGGACACTCACTATCCATTAAGAACTCAGACCCATGCCGATGGACCGAACTAAGCTCCATGTGTTGATACAGTAACCAAACACTTAAGTTGATCTCTTAGTTAAAACATGTCAAAGGAAAGCAAACTCCAGAGCTGTCCTTTAAAATTACAAGAGAATCTGATGCCACAAGGGCCAAAACTATAGACTTATGGCTTCAGATTGGCACAGAAAATAACTAACGGTCAGCAACAACAGAGAACTTCACTGTGTGTAATCTGGAAAACTCTGGACAAGAATTATTTCATGGAATGTTTGCATGTTGTGTCATGGTTGACTCATAAGATGTTGCTATGAATCGCATTTCCCCAGCGCACCTGCCCTGAATCCTTGGGCAAGTTACTTAAGCTCATTGTCTTTTCATTCCCTGTCTGGTAAAAAATGTCAACCTTAAGAGAATTTAATGTGAGGCATCAGGACAATGTTTGACATGTCATGGGCCTGCAATAAATGTTAATTACTTTCCCCATCATTTAATTTTGCAATTCTTACTTAGGTAGTTCTATGCTTGTGAATTCCAAAAGAATAGTAGAACCAGGGCTCGAAACACACAAGCTCTACCTATCAGGCCTGAGAAGTGCTGTAATTAAACGAATATTTAAAAATATTTTTAAATGTCATCAAGAAGGTTTTTGGTATGTGCGTTTCAAGTTTGCTCCTGCTGGTTGGGTGTATGTGGAAAAGAAGCTTGTGCATTTATATGTTGTCACCATTCTGTTACCACGCTGCTAATAGTAAATTAGTCTACTTCAGACTAGTCACCAAATCTACTTCCTCCAAATTTGAGCTGATACGAGAGCAACCATAGAAGAAATATTTCATCTTCCCACTACCTCTTCCTTTGTTCCAAGGAAACAAGGGAAAATCCATTTCAGTCATCAGGATGAAGACAGAACCAAAAATCTGCAGTTAAAACTCATTTACTGCCTATTAATTACATGAAAGGCAAAAAACTTGATCTACGCCTTATCTCAGCTAATAAGCTAAACGTCAATGCCTTAGGAGGGAAGGTAACACTGTCAAATGCCTCTCCCCACTCCTTTTTTCAACTTTCTGCAGAAGAATTTTTTTCTTTTATAAAGTACCAATCCTTTTAATACTTTGAAGGTCCTAACATAGCGTTTGAAATCTCCCACAGCTGTCCCGTACTTATTCCCCTTATCTTATAAAACCAAACCTCTCTCTAGTTCATTAATCCCACTGGGCTATAAACAAATATTCCAAAAGAATTAAAAGTCCTGCTTTTTGGTGAATAAAGGAGATAAAGGGTCACTCTAGCACCGTTCTGTTGATCAAAGCAACCTGGGGTAGGAAGTGGGAAGCCAGAGGGAGGCCATGGAAGGCTGAGGAGGGACCAAGGGCGGTGTATTCTCTACCGGTTCTCTTGGCCTCACCGGCCAGCAAACTCGGGGCCCGCATCCACACCCACCACTCGTGACACTGACCTCACAGCCCAGTCGTTAGCCTACACTACACACTCTTCTTTGATACAACGTTCCTTTGTTTAGTGGCAGCTGATGACTTTTCCTAGTAAATGACGGTGTGTATTCATGAGCTTTCATGAAAATTCCAAAGGTGTGTTTCTCTAACA